AGATGTGTGTGTGCTGTGCCCTGCTCAGGACAAACTCCTGCCATGAGCCATGAGTGGGACTGGGCTGTGCCTGTCCAGGATTTTGGGGTTGGGAAGCATTCCTAATGGAACATGTTGGAGTCAGTTGAGCTGAGCTGGGGAATTCACTCACCCAGGCGTGAGCTGGGACTGCCTCACCCTTGCAAAAGCTGTTTAAATAAAGGATGACAGGCACAAGAGAAAGTGGAATTCTCCTCCCCACAGCAGGATTCTGCCATCTCTCAGGGAGCTGGTGTCCCCTTCCTTTAGGACTCTGCTAAAGGCTCAGCTTGCTGGCTGTGCTCTAAGAGAGAGAGGTGTTAGTATTCATAACTTTAAAGTATAATGTAGTGAAATAATCCTTTAATTCCATATAGCATAGAAGCTCAGGCACCTCGAAACTATACTATAGATTTACTGCTGACAAATGGTGTGGGGTTTTTAAATTAAAATATATTTGAAAATAAAAAAGCTCAGGAGAGCCACATTAGGGTGTTTTTGACATGATGTATAAGCTCTGTGAAAAAAGCTTTTGCCAAATTCTCAGTGGGTTTATTTATTTTGATTCTTGTTTATGTGCTACAATGGAATTATCTAAAGTGGCTTTGGGATCCAGCACAGCCAGCTGTGGTCCCAAGAGGATGATGCTCCCTGGAGTCTGGGGCTCAGCTGCCCTTCCATCCTCCCTTACACCTCTTAACATGATCGACTCTGTCCTTCCTTCTTTTCCTGGCTGAGAGAAAAGGCCACAGAGAGCCCTGCTGCCATGGATTACCCTCAGGAGTGGTTTATGGCTTCTGTCCCCTCCTCTCGTGTCGCAGAAGTGTCTGGCTGGAACAGCAGCTCTGGCACTGTTGCTCTGTGTCTGTCCTACTCCTAAACCTGAGAGTTTAGCTCTGCTTTACTCTAAAACACTGAGTGGCAGAAGGAGAACAGCAGAGCTGCTTTCCCTGGACACAGATGAATATTCAGTTTGCACTTTCACTTTCACAAAGTAGGGCTGAGTGTTTCCCTGCTGCAAAAATAGTTCTGTTAGATTCCAAGTCACCTGAAAATCTCTCCGTGGGCTGACAGAAGAGTTCCTGTTAGCACTTGCTGTGACAGCAGTTTTATGTTGATGTTTCTGCATCTATTTTGGTTTATTCATGATTTCTGGATGGTTTCTGTGTGACCTTCAGGCCTGAGCAAGTCTCTCTTTCTTCATCAAATGGTCCCTCTTGGTGTTCCATATCTTGTGCCTCTCCTCTCTGTGCTCTCAGTGTCTCTCTCCCTGCCTGGGTCTCTCATGCCAGTCTCCAGCTTTGCCTCCACTCCTCATCACTCTGCAGGGCAGCAGAGCTGTGACTGAAGTTTCGTGACAGTCCATGAGCAGCAAGTGCTCCAAACCACATTGTGGCTGAGGCCAAACTCCCCCAGCCCCTCTCACACCCCTCCTCAGCAGGGCAGAGGAGGGAAGAATGAGCTTGTGAGGTGAGGGCAAGGAAGTCACCCATTATTGTCGTTGTCAAAACAGTCTCCACTTGGGGAAAAAAATTCAATTTATTGTCGATGAAAATAGATTTGAGTAGTCAAAACAACAACAAAAATTGCAATGCCACCCTGTGCCCCCCAACTCAGCTTCCTTCCTCCATCCCTGGCTGTGGTGCAGTGGAATCCACCATCAGCCACTGGAGAAACTGCCCTGATAGAAAAATCCTCCCAACAGTCCAGTTTTGGAGAGCTGGGAACACCTATTCCCCTCACTGTTTTTGGCAGGGCTGGTGAAGAATCAGAAATAAAACCTTCTGCTGAGCCCCAGCCCAGCCCTCAGCCAGAAACCACCCTTCCAAATCTGCTTTTTGGCCTTTCCCTTTAATAGAAATATAGTTATGACTTCATGCAGTTCTGCTTGACTTCTGGTGTCCTCCAACAGACTCAAAGGCATTACAAACTAACAGGTTCTGTAGTACAGTAAAAGATTTCAAAAAATGCAATGCTAAAGATGACCAAAAACTGGAGAAGTTTTGGAGCTGTGGGTGTGCCCCAGGATTGAGTCCTGTGTTGTTCAGCCTGGGCAAGTGGTCTCGAGGTGCTTGTTTTGCATGTACCCCATCACTGTCTAGGGGAGTCCCTGAGACTGCACATATTCCTGTGAGTCAGAGACACTCTGAGTTTTTAGGGTGTTGGGGTTTCAGTCAAGAAAATGTCTGTATTTCCTCTTTGTGAGACCCTTTAGATGGGTCCCTTCATGGACAAATTCATTTCCACTGTGCACTGAAAGCACAGACTCAAACATACTTTTTGTAAAACCTTTTTCACTCCTTGCCTGGTGCAAATTAGAAGTTTAATGCTGTGTTAATGTGGGAAGTTCCTCAGTGAGACCTCTGTAGAATCACAGAATAACTTGAGTGGGAAGAGACCGCCAGGGATCACCCAGTCCAGCTCCCAGCCCTGCACAGACAGGCATAATGGGATTTTCATGCTGATGCTGCTGTTTGCATGGGGCACCCTGCTAGAAACAACAGAGGAGCAAGAGCTGTCAACATTGCACTTCAATTTTTTTCCAAGGAAAGTTGCATTTCCATGGGGGAACTGATTTTGGGGTTCCAGCATGGCCCAGGTGATGAAGCAGATGCACACAGTGTAACTAAAGATCCTCTCTGTTATCTGTGGGCCCTTTGAGCAGCACTGTGTGGTTTCAGCATCGTTTTTAGCAGTTGAATCTGTGCAAGAGATTGAGATGAAATGACCCATGGCCTGTCCACATTAAGTGTTCTCATGTGGGTTTGAGTGTAACTTTAGGTTCTTAAGAGAAGACAACGGGCACATTTCCATGCTTTACTTTTTAAATTTAACACAGATTGATGGGTTCTGGAATAAAATGTAAACCCTCAACAGTTTGGCACATGGAGAAACTCAACTTGGAAAAAAAGAAAGGAAAATAAGGAAAGCTTATAAATCTTAACTTGGCCTTATTTCTGAGTTTGCTGTCTAGTCCCTGCAGTTCACTTTTTTTTTTTTTTTCTACAGAGTTTTCAGGTTCAAATGTCTCCATCATGTTCTCTTACTCCTTGTAAATTGTGTCTAGAAAATTGACACCTGCTGGGTTTTTCTTCTCTTCTCTGTAAATAGCTGGAATTCGTGATGTAGAAGAATTATAAAACTGGGCTGTTATTATTAGTTAGCAAATAACTAATGTGTGAAGATTGTGTACAAACTAAATTTAGGTTCTAGAAATAAAATCTGAGACTGGAAAAAAATTCTTAACACCCCACTTTCAATAAGAGTTTTCCATCATTGGGCAGACGTTGACAAAAGACCAAGTCAGGGAAACTTGATCCATTTTCCTTTGGGTGGTTAAATGTTAAACTTGGGACCATAAAATTACAGGACACAGAGGTCCTAGATAAGATCAGTGAGTTATATATGAAGTGTAAGACTTCTTGAATTCGTTATCCTCCCCTCTGCCTCCAAGAGCTGCTCCCAAGATCTCTTAGATCTGACCGATAAACCGTTCCATTGGAAATAAAAATCATTTTACTGGAAATGTTCTGGCTGAGCTGTGGAATATTTAGTTTATTTATTGAATTGTAAGTGTCTGACAAATAGCTCTGGTGCTTCTGCTACATTTTCTTTGGGCTGAGAGTTTGCCTGTGCCATTTTTTGCTGTTGTGCTCGTGCATTGCAGCTCAGCTGTGCATTGGAACGTTTAGTTTCATGGACTTTATGTCCTTATTTTGATCTGACTGATAGAGAGCACCCAAAGCTTCCCTTTACTGGTGAGGGGAGTAAGGGATTAAGGAGAAGTGGCACACAAATACCAAACTTGCAGATGCAGTTTACTCTGGCTGTGGTAGAGAGAAAGTGATAACCTCTGGGTGAGGATGCTTTTTGTGCTCCTTCAGTGACCCTGGGAGTTAGGAGGAGTTGTTTGGTGTTTGTTGTATGGATATTGATAAGTGTACTAGATCTCTCATGAAATATTTCATTAGGTACCTCACCAAGTATTTTCTCTGCATTTAACTCTGCTTCCAGTGCATGATTTTAAGTCTAAATTTCTGAAAGAGACTTCTTGCCAGTATTAACCACCAGAGTTAGTTCAAACAAAGCATCAGCAAGGCTAAAAGAAAATTGTAATACATTCAAGCAAAATATAGGGAAGGATATTTTAAGACAAAGGTGTGCATTTTCAGCATTGCAGCGGATGTGGATCATCTCTTCCTCTTGCTCTCCAGGTGAACATGTGCTCGTGGACATGTGTAATGGGTGTCTGTGGTGAATGTTTCTCTCAGTACACTGCTGTGTAATGTGGTGACCTGAACAGTCCAAAGTGTAAGAGAAAGCAGATGTGTTCTCAATTGTAATGAAAATGTAGTTTAGGGCTTTTTGTAGGGTTTTTTTTGTTACAATGCCAGTAAAGTTCATTAAAGCTGGTTTGAAAAACAAAAGCAGTTTGATACCTATTAAGTAGATCCTGTTGTTTTATGAGCATTGAGGTTTGATTGTCGGAAATTGTTTAGAGTGCCAGGCAGTGTGGTTCAGGGCTAATCCAGCAAAAGAAAGGCTTCTCTGGAGTGGTGAACTCCTCTTCCCCTGGGGAGACTCCCATTGATCTCAGATCCTCAATGCTCTTGTGCTGTAATGAGGGAGGAACTGATGCTGTGAGTGCTGCACTGTGATGGAAACCAAAAGCTTCATCCATGGCAGAAATCCCTTGAGAAGTCTGAAAGTTTCCCAGAGGAAGGTCTCAAACTGTGATTTCCTTGGGACACAAGTGTTGCCTCCTCCTGCCTGCAGCAGCTGCAGCTCCCACGGGGGCCGTGGTGTCCAGGGCTGTCCGTGGTGTCCCTGGGGCCGTGCCCTGGCACAGGGACACGGTGCACTGGCACTGCCACCGAGCCATGCTGCTGCTGGGGCTGGGAGGGGATAAAGGACAGCGGGACAGGGGCACTCACCTGAACCAGGCTCAACTCTTGCTCTCTTTGTGTTTCCTCTCTGTGCAGCTCAAGCCAGGCCAGAACAGCTGCCGAGACAGCGACAGCGAGAGCGCCAGCGGCGAGTCCAAGGGCTTCCAGCGCAGCAGCTCCCGGGAGAGGCTCAGCGACGTAAGTGCAGCTCCTGCGGCTCAGCAGCTCGGGGATTGGGTTTCTGGGATGGCTCATTGCTAAAATCTCCTTCCCTTTGGGCGCTCAGGTGAGACAAGGGGGTCAGAACATTAACTTAGGGTAGGAAGAGATCCTGCATGCAGCCGGCGCTGAATAAAGATGCACACCTACTTTACAACTCCTAGGAGGTGTGGGGTTTTCCACAAATCACAGAGAGGAAAAAGACATTTAAAGTGTTTCTTGCCCCAGTTCAGTAAACTTCTTAAAGATTGATACAATGTCTTTGTGTGTGCAAACACTCGGCTGTTTGGAAACAGTTGAAGGCCATTTAATGAAGTTAAGATGTTCTGCATAGTTGAGAAGTGAGTAACATTTTTACCCCAAGTGCTGGAGGAAAAGAATGTATTTCTTTGGGCTACATACTGTCTTTATGAGAAGTATTTGAGTGTCTAGAGGGACTCAGTTATGTATAATGAATTGATATAACATGGCCAACAATAGCATAAGCTCTGCCTTTGTTGCTCTACCTAAAGTGCTGTGGAGGGGCCTGAGATGGCAGCCCTGTGGAGAGTGTTTTTCTCCATGGGAGAATGCTGGTCATTCACCAGTGACTCGCATGAGTTGTTCTGACAGAGCAATGACTACAGAAATCTTTCTGTTGCTGCAATTAGATTACTATTTATTATGTGTACCATCACAATCCTTGAGTGTTTTATTCATGGCTCTGTGTCCTCTGTGCCACATGCTTTACAACTCAGAATATAAAGAAAGCCCTGTCCCAACAGAGTGTCTAAATTGGGGATTTTGTAGGTCAGATCCTTTGCTGGTAAAAGCATGGATAGCTACATCAGTCAACCCAATTTGTACCAGCCAGCAATCTGGCCCTACTTTTAACTAACCCACATTTTGGAAATGGGGATTTTATCGATAGCATGTCTGTGTAGATTTGGATGACAGATACCAGATGGTGTCCTCTATAGGCCAATCCAATAAAACTGAACTGAGCAGGCATTAAAAGAAATACCTTTGTAAAGGATACATTTCGTTGTGCAAATTTAAGCCTGAAGGCACACAGCTAGCAATTTTTGCTGAATTGTGCATATCACTGGAACAGATGCCTGATTTTTTTTTTCTTCTGTGAAAGTGTGAAATCTGTAGCACTCTCTCTCCACATCCCTTTGTCACATTATTTTAGAGGTCCATTTCTTTCCCAGAGCCAGCCTTTATGGGTTACATTCAGCTAAACACTTCAGAGCTTGCCCTTCATAGCTGTCAGCTGAGGTCATTCTCAGGGCTGTGAGATCTCTTTGGAAGAGGAGAGTGAAACCAGAGAAGGTAGTAAGGAAATGCTCTGTACAGGTAGCAGTGGAAGGCAGCTGGATGTCAGCCTGTCGCCATCATCATCCTGGCTTGTCTGAGCCCTGTGGCAGCTGGGAAACCACTGCAACCAACTTCACAATTACACAGCACCTTCAGCAAAAAATTTCACAGCTCCTTACAAACGTGGATTTAATTTAGCTTTGTCGTTCCCTTGCAATGTACTGTGTGGAGAGCTCTGAGGTTTATTGGGCTTCTCAGCAGCTCACAGCATTGCACTGCCAGACCTGGCAGTGAGAGCAGAGTCCTGGGTCCCCTTCCACCCATCAAATCCAGTTTTTCTCTGATGTTTTTGCAATACTTTTCCTTTGTCTCGGTGCTGTGGCAAATTAAAAGGAAGTAGAGAGCAAATACAACTTCCCTAGTGCACCCAAGAGAGGACAGAGGGATTCACAGGTTGCTCAAAAGAAACGTTATGTAAATATATGTGGAGATGTATATTTTAAAGTGTTATACATAATTTATGTTTTGCTTAATAAGGAAAGTTCCTTTGCTTTGATAATTCATTGCAATACAAGCGTGTCTCTCTGGTCTGGCATTACCAGTTCAGCTGAGATTTAAAAAACACGCACGAGACAGCTCTCACTGTGCCTGGTCTGTGGTGGCCCTTGCCAGGCTCCTTCAGTTCAGAGCAGTACTTCCCACGGCCCCCTCCCAAAGTCAGCTCAGAGCTGTCCCTCCCATTGCCCCAAACTCTGTTCAGAGCTGTCCATCCCACTGCCCTCCCCCAAAATCAGCGCAGAGCTGTCCATCCCACTGCCCTCCCCCAAAATCAGCGCAGAGCTGTCCATCCCATTATCCCCCTCCCAAAGTCAGTTCAGAGCTGTCCATCCTATTGTTCCTCTCCCAAAGTCAGTTCACAGCTCTCCATCCCATTGCTCCAAAGTCAGTTCACAGCTGTCCATCCCATCATTCTCCTCCCAAAGTCAGTTCACAGCTGTCCATCCCATCATTCCCCTCCCAAAGTCAGTTCACAGCTGTCCATCCCATTGCTCCAAAGTCAGTTCACAGCTGTCATCCCATTGCTCCAAAGTCAGTTCACAGCTGTCCATCCCATCATTCCCCTCCCAAAGTCAGTTCACAGCTGTCCATCCCATTGCTCCAAAGTCAGTTCAGAGCTGTCCATCCCATTCCCCCCTCTCCTAAAGCCAGTTCAGAGCTGTCCATCCCATTGTTCCCCTCTCCCAAAGTCAGACACCCTGTGTGCTGAAATGACAGGACCTTCCCAATGTTTATTTTGAATAATAGTTTTTGAAGAACTCAGATGTCTAATGAGACCCACTATTTACTGTCCAGAAAAAGCTACAGACAACAGTGTAAGTTTTTCTCCGAAGCTTTGCTTCTGTTTTTACAGCCATTTTCCCAGGAAAAAAATATAGAAAAAGTGTACCCAACAGAAGATAGAACAAAAAATATAAAACATTGCAGGCATATTAATCCTGAGGTCAGAAATCAAATTTTGGCCATGAAATATAATGAATCTCCACTATTGTCACCTGGCAGCACTGTAAGGCTAGGCATGGCTCCTGTATGGAAATGTGGCTAATGACTGAAGTGCATGTTCTCCAGGTGGATGATCCATTTTCCCATCCCCAGTTTGAGCAGGCTGGTGAAGCAGGAATATTGGAGCTTCACAGGCCTTCCTGCAGGGCCTGGTGAGAGCTCAGTGACAGATGCAGAATGAGGGAGAGGGGATAATGAACACCCAGTTGCAAACTGACATGTCAGTGGCTTCATTCCCTCTCCTGTCAGGGATCTTTCAACTTTGCCTATTGTAAATGTACCTGCAGTCCTTGGATAATGCAGAGTGATGCAAAGTGTGTTTACAAGGAGTGACTCCTTTCCAGGCTAATGAGATCCAAGCAGGTAATTTGCAGCGTTTGTGAGAGGTGGGCAAAAATGAAAAGAAGATAATTCAATGAAAAGACCATGTTAAGCAGGAGATTTTTCTCATAATGAGGCTCGAAATAACATCAGACAGTAGGAAGGGGAATATCCTCAGTTCTTGTCAGATGCAATGCAGTGAGACTGATTTCTGTCAGCTCCTCTCTTTGTCCTCGCCTGCACACGTGTGCACACACCCACCCCTCTGTGAAAGAACATAATTAGCAGAGAATTTGACCTCTGCTAGATTAGGGATAATGATTGCTCAAATGCTCCAGTGCAAGCAGTGCCCTGATCCAGCTCCCCCTCTGAATTTCATAAACACATGGCTCTCTGCCTTTCTCCCCTGTATAGGTTTTTTTAGGAATGACAACTTGTTTTTTCCTTTATGGGCAGAGGTAGCTCCAGGGGCCTAAAAGAGAAATTGGAGAGCTGCTCCTCCTTTATATATAGGGTGCTGTAGTCAGTTTAATCTCATCAAAATCTTGCCAGTAGTAGAATTCATTTTGTTGAGATCTTGCTTGGAGACAAGATGGCAGCGCTTTCTCTTTTGCTCAGCTTGGAGCTCAGTCAACTTCTTTTCCTTATCTTCCTGTATGTATTTATTTTTAATTGAGTCTTCCGTCTTTGGAATACATTTTTGTCATGTTTTACAAAACAGCCAGGAGATTTACCTGAGGAAAACATGAGAGTTACAGCTGACCTGGGTGGTGAATGCACCAAGTATTCAGGGGTTCAGCCACCTCTTTGCTAATCAAAAATCAACCACCTGATTTCTTTGGAACACACTGCTGAATTCCTGATCTACCTGATCTCAGCCCTGCCTGCTGCCTCTGGTGTTGGTTGCAGGCTTTCAGTGAAGGGATGAACAGCAAAAGCCTCTCCCCATGGTCACTGGATGGGATTCAGCACCTCATCACCTCTTGCTGCAGTCGGCACCTTTCTGTCTGGAATGTTTTTCCAGTTCCTGCACAGAGTGTGGGACAGGAATATTTCCATTTGTCCCTACATTAAAGGTCTTCTCTTGGACTCTCAAAAAAGCTCATCAAAGCTGCTGCACCCTTCATGAGTGCTCCCCAGCTCCCAGTGCCCTGTAGCTCCTCCTGTGCTGGGAACTTTGTGCTTGAGAGGAGCCACGGTGAGGAGGTGACAATGAGGACCAAGTCCTGAAATCCTGAAGTCCCCTTCCCACCAGGTCTGTGGCTGTTTGCTTCAGGAAGAGACATGTCTACACCGCTCCAGTAGTGTAATCTTGTGGGCAGCTTATGGTTTCAGCCCCAAATACAGGATATTTGCAATTCTTTTGTCTCCCATCCCTCTCACCTGTAGAGAGCCAAAGACAAATTGAGGGACAGCTTTGGGTTATGTGCTCTGAAACCATCAGTGCTGCTCCCTCTCCAGAATATCACCAGTGATCCTGGCAGTGTGTGGAGTGCAGGCACACGAGCAGAGCTGTGTCTGTGTGTGTGCCAGAGCTGCTCAGCAGCAGTGGCTGTGCTTTGTGTGCGTGTGGCTGCGAGGGTGGGGATGTGTGTGTTTGTGTGTCTAAGGTTGGGTGCTTAAATGCTTTGTTGCATTATGTTAATTCCTCGGCAGTGCAATCAAATTCATGTCGTAATTAAAGCTGTCAGTTGGAAGGCAAGCCAATCGCCAAGAAAACACAGCATAACAAATGAAGTGAAATGATTCTGCGTGTAGCTATACAATGCTTCGCCAGGCATGAAATTAAATAAGTAATTTGATGTTGACATCAGAAATTGAAATGATACCCACTGTTCCTTCATTCAGTCAGACCTGCATAAACAATAGCCAGAACAAATATGTACAACACAGTCTTTCTCCCCACCCAGCTCCCCAAGTAATGCACAATATATATGCAAAATGGGTATAACTGTGCCTTCCAAGACCTCAAGGATGTAATTTTCTTTGGTACACAATAAACTAATGCTTACACGAGGGTTACTACATTTTTGCTTCTGGGCCAAAGTTCTTTTCTTTAAGAAAGCATGGAAACAAAAAGAAACAAACCAACCAAAAAAAAAAAAAAAAAAAAAAAAAAGCCCAGAACCCTGTCAATTTTAAGCAAGTGTATTTTGCTGATGGGCACCTGATGCAGGCTTCTGCTGGTGGTTGTGTGAATATCAAACAGTATTTCTAATGTCCTATTTTGCAAAGGGTTTCGGAAAGTGAAACCATTACCTCTATTATAGGCACACTTTATATAAGAGCTATAGAGCCAGCCAGTGCAGGATCACGACTCAGCACGGGCTTGTAAAGATGCCTGTACACTTGGTACCAAGGCTGGGCACTGGGTAGTGGGACCCTTTCGCTTTGGGAGTTCCCCAAAAGGTGAGAAGCTGTCTCCTTCATAGCCCTCGCTTCAGCCTCTGTGCTCTGCCAACACACAGTTCACAGCACAGCTGACAGTCATTCATGCATGTGCAGCACAGTCTTTCATACTTCAATTAAATAGAGTTTGCAAACTGTACTCTCCATATGCAGCATGCAATGTGTGAAGGGCTATATTTCCATCCAGCAAACTCAAGTTCCCTGAAAATGCACAGTTGTTCAGTGAAAGTCATTTGACTGCTATGTTTCGACTGTCCTCCCATAGCCATTGCAGCATTGCTTTTGAAGGAATGAAAATATTCAGTGGGAAATATTTTGTTTGCTTATTCTTTTTTCTTCCTCTTTATTGTTTTGTTTTGATACTCTATCCTTCCAAAACTTGGAATAAAAAGCAGACAAAAATTACACACAGATGCAGAATGCAAACTTTGGAGCTTTCAGCCAGTAAAGTAAGTTTAAAAAAAACTGTGAGTGAAAGAGTGGGACTCGCTTGGCATCTGTACATAGCTGAAACAAAAGTGGTTATAACAATTGCACGTGTTGTGTTTGTGGGTAGATGTCCAGCTGAAATGAAAGGAATCTCAATGGCATGGAGCAGAGAGCAGGGTGAGTGAAGAGGAAGGCAGTGTGTGTCCTGTTGGGCACTGAGCAGGGTGTGCTCTGTGCCAGGCTGCAGAGCTGCAGGGCCTCAGGGGCTCCCAGTGCTGCCAACAGTCACAAGCCAAACTATATTAAGATGACAAAAAGCTGTTACCTTAATAAAGGTCCTCCAGGTGCAAATATGGCAAAATGCACATGTGATACAGGACTTGGACAATTTTATAAGTTTAACAAATTAGCACACTTTAGAGAAAGTATCCAATTAGAGGAACAGCTAATTAAGTAACCCCCCCCCCTTGATTCTGCCCTCCACTGAAGCCACCCCCAGCTTCTAGCTCCACATTTATTATGTCTACAATATATGGAAAGAATAAATCATCCTTGGTTCACTATAGAGGCAAAAAAGACTAAATAAGAGTCCAGGAAGGTGAGCTTACTGTTGTAAAATCTAAGGAAAGGGTAGGAAAAGGACTAGAGTTAAGGAGCTATGTAACTATATAACAGTAGTCTACAGAGTTGTGAATATATGAAAAATGTATAAAAAGCAAAAATCTTTCTGGCATCCCCAAAGCAGGGCCTATGCCCACAGAGTGGCTGTGCCAGAGGGCTGTGCCCATCAGGGAGCAGGGTCAGGGCTGTGCCAGTGCCCAGGTCACTCCAGCAGGATGGTCATTCCCAGGGACAGCAGGGAAGCAGAGCTCTCAGGGACATCATCCCTGGCACCAGGGGGTCTCCTCTGGGTGACAGTGGCAAAGGGGAGCAGCAAGAGTGGGCACAGGAGGACTTTGGAGTGTCTTTGTTTGTGTGGAGTTCTCTTGCCTGCTGATAGCCAGAGCTGTGCACTGCAGATCTGCAGTTTGGGTTCCTGTCTTAGAACAGGGGTGAAGGGACAAAAATTCTGTGTCTTCCCAATGGTCTGCCCAGGTCCCTCTGCAGGTCTGGCTGTCCCCGGGCTGTGTCAGCATGGAAAGGTAGGCTGTGCTGAGGAACAGGAGTGGGAATGGAGCTGCAGGAGTGTGAACTGAGCTACAGGAGTGGGAATGGAGATACAGGAGTGGGAACTGAGCTACAGGAGTGGCAATGGAGCTACAGGAGTGGGAATGGAGATACAGCAGTGGGAATGGAGATACAGCAGTGGCAATGGAGCTACAGGAGTTCCACACTGGTTCTCTGGCAGCCTCACTAGAGAATGCTCCCCTGCTTTTGCTGCTGTGCCCATGGGCTGAGGAGCTGGGCACTGCTGCCCCTGTAATGGAACAGCCTGACCTGGATTAGCACCAGGATCCCCCATGTCTCTGAGAGAACCTGCTGTGTAATCCCCTTTTTGCTTAGATGAAAAACTAATGAAACAAAACCCTTTATCTCCTTAATTCCTGTGAATATAGAGGTTGTGATCATGTCCCACTTAAAAAGCATTTCATGATGCTTTTTTTTTTTAAAGCATTTAAACAAATTGATTATTTTCCATGGTAGTAATATTAGTTCTAATTATTTTTATAGGTTTGAGTTTTGAAATCTATTTCACACTGTAGATATTTGCTGTTTGCTTTTTTTGTGGTTGTTGTTTCTAAGTCCTTGGTTTGTCAAACAATGTGGACATCCAAATGGGAAATTGTAGTGACTGCATTCTCCAGAAAATGGTACATTGACTAAAGCAGCTTCTCTGTGCCCACGCATTCTTTACATTTCAGACTACTAATTATGTTTACAAAATGTCTCATTTTAGAAAAGCACTATGTGTGTACTAACCAGGGCCTTTCGGGAATAAATTGGCAAACAGGTCATACACTGAAAAAGTCATCCAAACCCACCGGGCTTTTTGTTTTGAAGTCAGTCTACTTTTTTTCCCTTTCTCCCCCTCCCTCGTGCCCCTTTGTGGCCATGAAGCTGAGGAGCTGAAGTCCAGGGCATTGAATGTCAGCATGTCAGGGAGGCTGGTTGATGAGTGTCTGTTTAGTCTCAGTGCAGGGCGAAATGCCATCATTAATTCATTACCCAGCTGCCTGTCAAATAAATTGGCAATTACGTCCACCGCAGACGCTTGGAATTCAGTAAATAGCACGTTACCATCTCCGAGTCGTTGAGAGATGTAAAGGGAAAAATTAAGCAACAGCGTGTTTGTTTCAGTAGCAGATGACAAGGGGCAGGACGCTGGTGCTGTGATGTGGTGATGAAAAGCTTGGAAAGGGCTGGTAATGAGCTGTGTGGATTGGAACGTGTTAAAAACCATCACTGACTTTCCACTTTGTCTTTGTGCTTTATTGCAGAGCTCAGCTCCTTCCAGCTTGGGAACAGGCTACTTTGTAAGTGTTCCTCCACTTTCACCCGTGTGCCTCAGCAGCAGAGTGCTCTCACACAAAATGCCTCACACAGGACACAGGACACCCCACAGCCCTTCTGCCCAGGGGCTCAGTGCACCCTTCTCATTTCTTCCTCCTCAAATGCCCTGCAAGTAACATTTCCAACATGGTGCTCTGTGTTTTCTTGACTAATCAGGTGTCATTTTAATTACTACATACATTTTAACAGCACTTAATTTACACAATTATAGCAAATAAAATGAGCCATGGTCTCACCAGCTCTCTAATGGGAGATGGTAGGATCTTGATTCCCCCTTGCACCCGTTCCTGTTGATTCAGAGATTTTCAAGAGCCCATTACAATGCTTTGCCTCATCTCCTGTGCACCACAGCCCAGAGAATGTGGCACAGTGATTTCTACCTGTTGCTTTCTAAAAAAGCCCGTGGCTCATGGACACTCTTGAAAAACACAGAAGTTATATTTATGCTAGATTTACATTTTATGTTCTGAGAAGCAGATCAGGTCCCAGCTGATTTGAAAATTGATCAGTTTTTTTTTGGGTTTGTGATTTATTTGCATGCACCTGTATTGATTTAACAGTCTATATTCATACCTTTCTGTTCATTCCCACATTCATCAATATACCTTTTACTTGCACAGATAAGTTTGGGAGTGAAAAAATTTTTCCATTCAATCCAATGTACTGCTTATTCTCTTCCAAGATTTATATCTAAATTGCTCATATCCTGTTTCTCTTGTAATTTATGCTGTATTCTCCAAGCACATCTTTTCTGCCTTTATAATAAGGAGGAGCAGAGCGTTGCATATGTCCAAAACCAGGTGGGTAAAATGGGAGCCTTGTCCCACAGCACTGCTCTGTGAAGTTACCAGTATAATCAAAGCCTCCTATCTTCTCATTGAACTCCAGGGAAAAGTAAACTCTATGGTATTCAATTACGTGATGGAAAAACTTGTTTGCACTCTTGTCACATTCCCAGAGAGTCATTTTCTTCTATTAGTTCATGGTGAATTTAGTCTTTTGTCACAGACGTCTGTGATCCTGTAAGAAAGTTATGGGATTAAATTGTAAACATGTGGTCTCACAAAAATTGCACAAAAATTGCTTAATACCTGGAGAAATGCTGTGTCCTGCTGGATTTACATTGGACTTCTGCCCAAACAGAACGTTCACAGTGCTGGTGGTGAGCTATGAAAAGAGCATCCTCAGGTGAAAAAGTTTTGTGTAGTTGTTCTAATTATACCAAGGCCTAGATCAGTGTAAGGTAAGTTGTGAAACAAAAACAAGATGGTTTCCTTTTTTTCATCACTTGCCCTGATTTGTGTTGTGCATTTTTAAGAGGGAGGGGATGAAGGGAAAAATGATACTAAATGGCTCAACACTTATTTAGAATTTAAAGTAAACCATTCTTGAATGTCTTTCCATAGTCCAAATGAATTGCTTTCCTTTGTCTGGGAAAATTCCAGTCATACAGAGGTCTGTAGATGCTCTCTGGAATGGGACAGGTGTATTATGGGCTGGGGGGGCTGTGCCATGGATAAATGAGCCTTGTTCTTGCAGGGAGAGCTGAATATGCATGGTTTGAGAGCAGTGCTCAGCTTCCTCTCTAGGCAGCAGAGGTAACAGAAGAGAAGCCATCTGCTGTTCCCTGCACCATGCTGTCTGTGGGTTGGTCCACTAAAGTGAAAATCTGGAAGGTGTCAGCATCCCCTATGCTCCAACAGAAAGCTTGAAAGTTTCCAGCTCTCCTGAGCAAGGGATTCAGTAACAAGAAGAAGCCTGACATCTTCTAGGGCTGATGGATTGGCACCTTAAATCATTCCAGTTTGGGTCTGTGTAGGTGGGGGAGGCATCCTTTGTTGGTGCCATTAATATATTTAACTGAGCTGTTTCTTTTCTATCGTCACAGTATTGAGAGTATTTAACTTCCTTTTTTTATTTCCTCACTAATAGCCAAGTAGGTAGAAAATGTGCTTCAGTTTCTATCTTAAAGTTCTTTTTACACTTACACAGTCTTTGATGAAACATGAAGGTTTTTTTCCCCTCCCTTTTCACTTTGGAAAATTGTTTTTAGGATTATCATGCTTGTTGTTTTAAAAAAGCCCATACTCTTATTAACTTACATGGGGTAAATAAAACCCAGATGTGTTTTGTGGTACCAGACAATGAGAAAAATGTTCCAGAGTGATCCAATTAGCATATGTTTCTGATCAATGTAATTATTGTATTATCAATGTGCAAAGGCATATGCACTTGAATTGACTTCTTTTTTCCAAAGCTTTTAACTAGGAAAGACTGTTAGTTTTTGTGTTTGGTGTTAACCCAGAACATCACAACAGGGGTCATTGGTCTCAAATACAGTAAAAACAACTTCTAGTTTAATAGATAATAATAAAGCTTTGGCCCTTGGAAATAATTTGGTGCATGTTGTACACTGGCCTATGAAATATTCTGTGCTGCAGCTCACCAGAGGGAACAGAGGAACCAGGTAGGTGAAAATGGACTGATGGACATCTACTGCAAAGGGAAGCAGGTTTCATTCAGAAAGGAATGAACACTGAGGTAGGGGTTAAGTAGCACATGTTTGCTGTTTAAATCAAATATTAATGAAATCTTCATGTTGCTAGCATAGAGATAATCCAGCTTGGAGTCCCCTCTGAGGACCCTGCTTGCACCAGGCACTCAGGTTTGAGGGATGGGATGGGCCATGTGTCTGCAGTGTTTGTGCATGCTACAGCAAAGCTAAAATGCCTTTTAGATCCTGTTCCTCTATAGAGATCACCGAGTGTTTAAGGAACATCTATAAAGCTGACATGTCCCAGGAACACAAAATCATTCCTCCAATATCTCTATGATAGCTCCATCCTAGTAATTCATTATGCAATTTCAGTGGTAGTGGTGAAGGCTGGAATCTTAGCTGATTTTATACTGTAAGTAGATCAATATCTGACTGGCAGAGCTGGAGACTGAATTCTTCTATCTTGTTGTCTCTGTGTAAGTGCTTCTGGAAGAGCAACAGGGAAAGGAAAAATGCACATGCTCTGGAGGGCATTCCCAGCCTGCTTTGGGAGTGGAGAGGGTTGGGAGTCTCCATCAGGTGATTCAGCCCAACCCACACCCAGCTGGGTGACAGAGCTGCCCTGGACTGAACAAACTTTGTGAGGAGCTGCCTTCAGCAACATGGGCCCAGTGTGAGTGGCCACTGAAGGAGAGGGGATGGTGCAAAGTTGTCAATGAGCTCTAAATTCACCTTCAAGTTTGGATTTCAGTTGGGAAATACTCTTTTCTACTCCTTTCACAGGTGTTGGTATTTCTGTAGATTCTGTTTAGAAGACATTTTTGTTGGAGTGTGTTTCACCTGTCTTGGTGCTCCTTGTCAGAGGAGACACTTTCCCATCCTTTTTGCATATTATTAAACCAATAATCAGAAAATAGGAGGTAAAAATAATTCCAATTCTCCTGGGAGCCTTTTGTGCTGGCCTGACTTTACTGCTTCCTGTGGGATCAGTCCAGTCTATGATTGGTGCATGTGAAAAAACATTTAGGTATGCTGTTAATATTGGTGCACCCTAAGAAATCATAACTTAATACTTCCTGGAAGATCTCCCAGTTGTCTTTGATATTTTTTGCATTGCAAATTGTCATTGTCTCTCATCAAAGACAGATTATAAAGTAGATTATTTCTCATCAAGATGTCAGATCGGATAATTGGAAAGCAGTTAGAATTTTAGAAAAAAAAATCACCATATTTTTAACTTTAAAAGGAAAGCTGTTTGAATTATGGGAGTTTTTAATGTTGTCCAGCTGTCTTGAGATTTCAGAAGGTTGAGATGTTTTAGAACACAATTAGAATTTGTATAACAGTAAAGCTTTTTCTCTTACCTAGCTTTGAAGGATGGTTTTTACTCATTTGTGTATCTTGCACACAGCCAAATTCCCATTGAAGTGGATAGAGGTTCATTGGTTTGCAACACAGAAGAGAGCAGAAATCAAAACTTAAATAACTGAGTCTTTTGCTTCTAAACAACAACCCTGATTCCCAAGATTGTCAGGTTCTTTGGCAAGTGTACAGTTTCTCTGCTTTTGGCAACTTATTTCCATTTCTGTATATGTCTGCTTCTTGAGTCTTTGTTCCAGTTTCTGAGCATTTTCTGTTCCTCTTCTAATGTTTTTTGGGGCTTCTTTTTGATTGCATGTTTGTGTTATTTTCTTTTCAAATGCAGAGAGTTTGTGAATTTTTCAGAACTGGGTAGAATTTGGTAAAGCTGGTGATGGAAATAACATTGGGAAGGCAGAAGACTCCTGTGACCCTTCTTTTCCAAACAGTGCTCTTGCTCCACCTTAAAAAAAAAAAGAAAGAAAAGCTAAAACTGTGCTTTGCACAGGGGCTGGTGACTCAGGCAAACATAAATCGTGAGCTTATTCCCCAAGGCTCTGGCTAATCAGTTGTGCTATCCAATTTGGCCCTGAGTGGGTTGGGTTCAGCAGATGTTTGTGCAGCTCCAGCGTGCCACTGGGACACTGGCTTGTGCAATGTTGCATTACATTACTCAGAGCTCTAAAAACCCATTCCAGGGGAATAAGGGGAGCACCAGTGGTGTTTGGTATGGATATGATGGGAAAACCAATCTCTGGCCTAGATAAGGCCAGCTATTTCTCTGTGCACTGGGAGGGATTTTCATCTGAGACATCATCCTGCAGAAGAAATGTGGAATTAGTTACAGCAGCACGTTCTGTGCTCTGAGAGTCCTTCAAAGAGCAGATTTTCCCTCGTTGCCTGGTCCATGTGTTTTGGCAGTGGTCCTGAGGAGCTGAGCTTTGTTCCTTGAGGTGGTCAGGTCTGTGATGCTGGGTGAGAGGCTGTGAAGAGACTCCAGGGAAGTGCAGTAGGACCCACTGGCTTCCCCAGGAGAGAACAGATCAGATCAAAAGTGTTGTTTGAAAGGAGCTCAACAAATCAACCTGCTAAATCTGCAGAAGGGAT